ACACTCCTGATTTGTGTCTTGTAGATAGTGGAGAAGATCTGTGGAGTTGGGAGGAATACTCACCATCGTAATCCTAGCCTCTGAACTGCTCTTGCAGCCACTGTTTGTGGGAGTCCAGTTGAGTTTCTGTGCAATGATAACACCCAGAATGATAACACCCAGAATGTTAATAGTGGGGGATTAAGTGATGGTACCATTGAATGTCAAGTGGCAGTGGTTAGATTGCCTCTTATTGGAAATAGTAATTGCCTGGCATTTGTGTGATGTGAATGTTACTTGCCAGCCCCAACCTGGATATTGTCCAGATCTTGTTGCATTTGGATGTGAACTGCTTCAGTATCTGAGGAGTAACAAATGATGCTGAACTTTGCGCAGTCATCAGTGAACATCCCTGCTTCTGACCTTATGATGGAGGAAAGGTCATTGATGAAGCAGCTGAAGATGACTGAGTCTAGGACACTATCTTGAGGATGTCCTGGAGCTGAGATGACTGACCTCCAACAATTAAAACCATCTTCCTATGTACCAAGTATGACTCCAACCAGCAGAGAGTTTGCCCCCAAAACCAATTGATTACAGTTTTGTTGGGGATTCTTGATGCCGTTGCTGAGTTGAACATGGCCTTGATGTCAAGGGCTATCATTCTCACCTCACCGCTCGAATTCAGCAATTTTGTTTGTGTTTGAACCAAGGCTGTAATGAGGTCAGAAGCTGAGTGGCCTTGGTGGAACTCAAACGGAATGTCAGTGAGCAGGTATTGCTGAGCAGGTGCTGCTTGATGACATGGATAATTGAGAGTAGACTGATGGGGCAGTAATTGGTTGCGTTGAATTTATGCTACTTTTTGTGTATAGGACATATATGGGTAATATTCTACGTTGTCGAGTAGATGCCAGTATTCTAACTACTGGAAAAGCTTGTTTAGGGGAGCAGGAAGTTCTGGAGCATAAGTCTTCATTACAATTGTGGAATGTTCTCAGGGCCCATAGGCTTTGTCGTATCCACTGCCCCCATCGTTTCTTGACATCATGTGGAGTGAATTATATTGGTGAAGACTGGTATCTGTGATGCTGGGGACTACTGGAGGAGGTCGGGATGGAAGATCCACTGGGCACTTCTGGTTG